AGGGCGTGGATTAAAAAGGAAGAGTGTTGTGCGTTTTTTCAGATGGTTCTTTGTTCTGAGCATATAGAGTTGCCCTAAACAAAACAAGATATCAGGCCTGACCAGAAATAGGTAACTGCAAAATCATTCCACCCTTTATCACTTGGCCTTTCAAAACAATGCTCCCCGGAGTCCGAACTACAGGCAGGAAATACTGCTTGCATTTTCCCCTTTGTCTTGGGACCACCAGCTGTGCCTCCTCCAGGGCCTTCCTTCTTCCTCCACTTTTACGCAAGTTTTTAACACAATATATTTCGCTATCTAAACCCAAGAGTTAAGTTTTAGAAAATGATTAGCCATTAACTCAGTAAAATCAGGTTCTTGCTCCTAGCTCAAAGAGTTATAATATTTCTTGGATAAAGAAGATGTGGTACATATATACAACGGAATACTACTCAGCCATAAAAATGAATGAAATAATGCCATTTGCAGTAACATGGATGGACCTAGAGATTATCATACTAAGTGAAGTCAGTCAGGAAGAGAAAGACGAATACCATATGATATCACTTATATGTGGAATCTAAAATATGACACAAATGAACTTAACTATGAAACAGAAACAGACGCACAGATATAGAAAACAGACTTGTGGTTGCCAAGGTGGGGGTGGGGGAGGGATGGATTGGGAGTTTGGGATTAGCAGATGCAAACTACTATATATAGGATGGATAAACAACAAGCACCTACTGTATAGCACAGGGAACTATATTCAATATCCTGTGATAAACCACAATGGAAGAGAAATGAAGAAGTATCTATATCTATAAATACACACACACATATATATATAACTGAATCACTTTGCGGTACAGCAGAAATGAACACATTGTATATCAACTATACTTCAATTAAAAAAATAATAATATTTCTCGTTTGGAGGGTCATCTAGATAAGTGACTCCTAGGTTGAGTTGGCACCTGAGGTTCCAGGTGATACCACTGCTGGTTCATGGATCACACTTGGGGTAATAAGAATTTTGCAGGATAATATTCTCCACATTTCTTTGATCATGTATCACTATTAGTTTAAAAAAATGTGAGCAGGGACTAAACAACATATATTTAGTTCTGTTTTATATTCGTGTGTTAGTCCAGCATAATTTCAGTTTTCTTTAAAAATATAAACATGAGTTCTAATATTTTATTTCAGCACAGCACTGACTCATCTCGCACAAAGCCTATTTTGAGGACCATTTATCTTGATAACATACCCATTACGTTAACATGCAGTGCATGCTTGTATTTCTCCAGGCATAAGAAAATCACTGATCCAGGGGACCTATTCCATCTTTGCATAAGGAATTATTAAAAAGGGCTTCCTTCTATTAGGTTGTATCTATGCTTTGTATCTAAAGGTCTACCTTCGGGGGCGTGCAAAACAAGCCAAATCCTTATTAACACTATTTCAACTCCTATCACTGAAAAGGGCCTGATTTCCTTAATATGCAAACAGCATTTATAAAGCAGTAAGAATAATACCACCAACCCAACAGAACAAAATAGGCCAAGAATATAAACATGTATGGTAAAAAGATGTTTAAAAATGAAAAGAAGGGCTTCCCTGGTGGCACGCTGGCTAAGAATCTGCCTGCCAATGCAGGGAACACGGGCTCAAGCCCTGATCCGGGAAGATCCCACAGGCCGCAGAGCAACTAAGCCCGTGCGCCACAACTACTGAGCCTGCGCTCTAGAGCCTGCGAGCCACAACTACTGAGCCCACAGGCCACAACTATTGAAGCCCGCACGCCTAGAGCCCGTGCTCCACAAGACAAGCCACTGCAATGAGAAGCCCATGCACCGCAACAAAGAGTAGCCCCCGCTCACCACAACTAGAGAAAGACCACGCACAGCAACGAAGACCCAATGCAGCCAAAAATGAATGAAAAGATAACCAACCTTGCTCAGATAAGAAAAATTCAAATTAAAACTGATGAAGCATTATTGTTCACCTGTCAAAATGGCAAAGATAAAGAAAAGTTGGGTAAATATATTGTGTTGGTGATGTTGAAGAAAAACAAGTACCCTCATACATTGCTCTGGTATAATGTCAGCTGGTACAATTTCATGGCAGATGCTTAATGAAGCCATCAAAGATTCGTCTTTTTTTAAATACTGGGAAAATGTTAACAGTATAATGTTAGGGAAAAAAAGACACAAAACATAGACAGCATACCAGAAAAAAAAGTACTGGAAGAAAATACGCCAAAACAATAGCAATGCCTATTTCTGGATGGTAAGATAACAGGTGATTCCAACTCTGTTCTTTATACTAATTAGCATTTTCAAAATTTACAACAAGCCTGTAGAAAATGCTCCAGGGAGGAGGTGAGGAGAGCCTAGAAGTGGACCTGGTTTTGAACTGCAGACTATTAAAGTTCACAGTAAGAGACAGCTGAGTCCTTAGCTTACCTACACTCCTGGGGGAAACTGGTATAGTCGATTCCAGTTATTTACAGTAGTGATGTTCTATAAAGTTGCCATGATCACTGAATGAGCCAACACTGAACCTCTGCTCCTGGGGAAATACAGGGTCACGTTCCTGCGAGCCTCAAGTCACAACCAAGAATCAATATGTAACCTCCTGTTATGTGTGCTTCTGTTTAAAGACACCTTACTGAATATATATCGCTGACTCATTAACACTGAACTCACGGCCAGCAGCAGCGTAACTCAGGCCTGAAGCAAGAGTCTCTAACACACGTATTTTCTCCATAAGGCCCCTCACAGCCTTCTTGCACTTACGATCACTGGACAGCACTTCAGCACTATGCCTGGGGTGGGGGAGGCATTTAAAACAGCGAGATCACCAACAAAAAGCACAAAAATGTGGCACTAAATAGACCTCAAGAAGGACACCTGTTTGCAGTATGAGAGCTGAAACAAGAAGGCAGAGCATCGTCTTGATGACCCTCAGCTGAGAGCATGTGCACATTGGGCTGCTCTGCGCAGGTCCGCCGATGATGGCGCAAGCACCACAGTTACAAATACATTTAGTGAATAGGTGAATTCATGAATGTAGAATCTACAGATGATGAGGGTTGGCTACAGTTACAATTATACCTTTCAGGAAAATGCTTTACTCAAAAGTAAAGAGCCGAAAATCGATATTCTACAGCTGGACCCCTTCCCAGAGTAGTTTAACATTGAGCACTGTACAATTTATAAATTTTAACTTAGAAAGGAAATTAGGGACTTCCCTGGAGCGGGTTTGATCCCTGCTCAGAGAACTAAGATCCTGCATGCAGCGTGGTGTGGCAAAAAAAGAAAAAAAGGAAATTAAATTTTTCTTTCAATAATGGAAAGGAAAGCAATGTGTTACATCATTCATTTTATTTAATATATTCATCATCTTCAGCAGAAGCCATCTCTTTTCATTATTCAATTAAATTCAGCCAGGAGTGACTGAGAATCTCCACCAGGAGAACACGGAGATGGGCGGGATGATGTGAGCTGAAGAAACTTACAGTCCTCTTGGGTGTGGGAGGGGGAGGTTGAGGCAATTCCTCATTTTAATACAAAACAGAATACGATCGAGACCACCATAAAGATCTAACATGTATGAGTGGAAAAATCTAATGCTACGGTGGCCAAATGAAGGAGAAAGGGTATCCTCTCGGGACTGTCTGGAAAACATGATGGAGACAGTAATATCTGAAAAGATCTTGAAGGATTAGCAAAATGGTAGCTGGAGCTGTGGGATGGAGTGGTGAGAAATGTCCTGACACCAGAGGCAGAAGAGCACAGTCAGAACTCAGCATGAGTGTAGGCGAGGTGAAAGGCATGCCTTCCATTACTGCTGTAAAGCAAGGCACAGTGGCCCCGAAGTGGTCACAGAGAAGAGAACCGGAAGGCAAATGGCTAAGTGACAAATGGAAACCAGTCCAACGACCTTAATCCTTCATACTGTTTCCAGAAGCTTCTAGGCTTATTTTATTTTCACACTGCAGAGGTTAACTCTTTACCTGTCCATCTTTTACATCCTTAACTAAACCCCATACTGGAGGCAAGCAGGGGTCATGCCTCATTCTTCATTAGCCTCCCCTTCTTCTGCCTCTGCCCAGTTCCCCCAACACACAAACACATCCCAACATACAAAAGATCACCTGACACCATGCCTCATGTCGCCAGACATCAATAAATATTTGCTCATTCAGTAGTGGACTTGACAAACACACTAAGCCCTGGTCTGTTTCCTTAGAATACAGGTTTTCCTCAGGGAGCAGGTGACTGAACTTGGCTGGGAACTGTCCCTGCATCTTTCCCCACAATATCTGTGTGTGTGGAGAACGGGAATCTTTGAAAGGGCCCCAATATTATATTACACATTCTTATTTTCTCACTGAACTAAAACTGAAAAGAAGTGTTCAGCAGAATCTCTATAAACTTTACAGTTAAATTTGTAGATGTATATATTTGGCCTTAAAATTCTAATGTTTAGGCCACGTTCTGTTTCGGCCCCTTGATTCTATAACTCCTTAGAACTGAGTTAAATACTAATAGTGTTCTTGGATTGTCTTTTGGGGTTTAAAATATTATACTACATGAGATTAAACATTTCTGAAAATTCGTGAAGAGAAGCAGGCTTTTATATAAAAGTATTTTAATCACATCTTAAATTGTTTCTTCTACCTCCAATAAATTATTTTAATTATATAAATACTTTAAGAAGCCAATTCTTGCCTTTTTTAACTGCTCAGACAGGAATATATCCAGTGGCACAAATTCAAACGAATTCAAAGAAGATTAAACACAGTAAATATTTAAATTTGAATATATTTCATGTAAAATAGATATTACAATTCTGTTAACAACCAGCCTATAGCCAGGAACTTATAAATTAATTTTTGCCTATTATTCATTGCTCTTAAATTTGAATTTTCTATTAGAAGTGATTACTAATTTTAAGAACAGAGGTAAATTTTAAAATACACAATTTTGTGGTCAAATTCTTTTACTTACTATTTCAAAACCTCGGTGCGGGTGATCAGGAAATCCACCTGGTCTACTGCCTTTAAATTCATCAAACAGTAAAAATGGATCCAGATGTTTTAACTGAAAAAAAATAAATCCAGCAGATTAGATGTGCCTTTTAAGTCACGCTACTCGGGGCTACATTCAAGAAGAGATCTAGCAAACCTAATTAAAAATGATTTGGCTAATAAGCAATTTTTGCAATGCTAGTTGCTTTCAGGAAAGAACTCCTTACACACACACACACACACACACACACACACACACACACGGATACACTAAGTTAAACAGTTGACATTTTATGAGAAGTGGACAATTTATGATTGTCTAAGATCTAAATAGTCAAGCACAATTGAGATACAGTCTATATATAAACAGATTCATCACAGGGGAACAGACTAGAACATCAATTACTGTGCTGTGATGATAAATGCTCTGGAGAAAGACAACACATAGGAGCGTAGGGTGGGGTCAGGGAGGCTCTGGCCGGGAGGTGTCACTTGAGCTGGGTCCTGAAGCATATGTAGAAGTTAATCAAGAAGTGGGAGAAGGAAGAATGTTCTAGATGCAAGAGCAGAGAAGCAGCTTATTGGCAAACCTGAAAAACTGCGAGGAAACTACTCTACTGAAGCAAAAGATGCACATGGAATTATGATGAGAGATGGGCTGAGGATACAAGCCAAATCTTAAAGGAGTTTGGGTTTTATCCTGAAGGTGACGGGTTTTCATCAGGTTGACACGATCAGATCTAGAAAGACCACCCTAGCATACATGTGGAAGATGGTCTGGAAAAGGAAGAGACGTGAGGCAAAGAATATTCAGAAGGTGATTTCAGCAGTCCAGGCAAGGACAAAGGCCAGGACTAAGGCAATGGCAGTAGTGATGGAGAATGGGAAAAAGGAAGAGCATTAGATCCCTCCCAAATTTCTAGCCATGGGGCCTGGGAGGACAGCAGGGCCATCCAGAAGCACAAGAAACATAACAGAAGAAGCAGCCTTGAAGTAGTCATGGTGACTTCATTCTAGGTCACATTGAGTTTGAGATATGTATATAAATATTTATATAAATAGAACTATGAATATTCAGTGTCCGGTATATTGTGCAAAAGCTAGATGGCAAGTGAAGGTAAATCTTGAGCCCAAATTAGAGGTAGAAACAGACCTGGCTGACATCAGCGTATCTTTATGTTCATCGTGGTTATTCTTGGCCATTTGTTAGTCTACACAAATCTTAGAAAACTTAAAAACATATACAAACTAAAATGTTGGACTTTTGATTGGACTTGCTTTGAATCTATGGATCAATTCGACAAGAAATGACATTTACATAATATTGAGTTTTCCTACTCATAAACATGGTTATCTCCATTTATTCAGGTCTTTGAAAATGTCTTTCAATAGGATTTATAATTTTCTCCATACAGATTTTGCATATATTAAACATTTTTTCTAACTAACATACTTTTATAGCATTGTAAATAGTATTTTCATTGAGGTATAATTGACATATAACATTATATTAGTTTCAGATGTGGAAGGTAATGATTTTTTTTTTTTTTTTTTTTTTTTTTTTGCAGTATGTGGGCCTCTCACTGCTGTGGCCTCTCCCGTCGCGGAGCACAGGCTCCGGACGCGCAGGCTCAGCGGCCATGGCTCACGGGCCCAGCTGCTCCGCGGCATGTGGGATCCTCCCGGACCGGGGCACGAACCCGTGTCCCCTGCATCGGCAGGCGGACTCTCAACTACTGCACCACCAGGGAAGCCCCGAAGGTAATGATTTGATATCTGTAAATACTGCAAAATGATCACCACACTAAGTCTAATTACCATCTGTCACTACGTACTCTCTTGGCAACTTTCAGATATGCACTACCATAACCTGTTGAGTTTCTATGTACTAACAACAAACTATTAGAAAGAGAAATTAAAAAAACAATCCCATTTACAATTGCATCAAAAAGAATAAAATTCCTAGGAATAAATTATCCAAGGAGGTGAAAGACCTATACACTAAAAACTATAGGACACTGATGAAACAAAGTGCAGATGACACAAATAAAAGGAAATACATTCTGTGCTCATGTCCTGGAAGAATTAATATTGTTAAAATGCCTACATTACCCAAAGCATTCAATACAATCCCTATTAAAATCCCAATAACATTCTTCATAGAAACAGAACAAACAATCCTAAAGTGTGTATGGAACCACATAAGACCCTGAACAGAACCAAGCTGGAGGCATCACGCTCCCTGATTTCAAACTATATCACAAAGCTACGGGAATGTAAATAGCATTTTTAACTAATGTTTTTGAACAGTCTGCTGCTAAGGATTAGAAATGTGAATAGAGGGACTTCCCTGGTGGTAAGTGGTTAAGACTCCGTGCTTTCACTGCAGGGGGCACGGGTTCAATCCCTGGTCGGGGAACTAAGACCCTGCAAGCCACGCGGTGCAGCCAAAAAATGTTAAAAAAAAAAAAAAAAAGAAACGTGAATACAAAGGCGACTTTGAACACTGCTAAGCTCTTATTAATTTTAATAATTCATCTGTAGCTTCTTTTGGGTTTTCTTTGCAGACATTCATATCACCAGTATATTTATCAATAAGCTTTTGGCCAATAGTTCACAAAGTATTTTTTGCTTGCATTAGATTAAAGCTGAGGCAGGTTGCCATTTCTCTGGGTTTTGCTGGGCCAGGCTGGCCTCTACATGTCTTCTCATTCTGGGTCCCAAGATGAAACAGTGCCCACTCTCTAGGACGTGCTGTTCTCACAGCCAAGGGCAGGAGCCAAATGGTGCACAATCCCAGTTACATTGGCCCATTGGTCAAAGCACGTGACGTGGTCGAGCCCAAAGGCAGACAGGAGGGCACTTAAACCCGCCCTGTGGACTCATGGGTAACGCACCCAAAAGTGGGTGGGAGTGTATAATCTATTACAGGGAGGGAGTGAATATTTGGGAGTAATATTCCAACCAACAGCCATCAGCAAATAACTGTTTTCTGCCCTTTATTTTCAACCCTTATACTTTCTTTTTCTGTCTTCTTTCCAGTTGGCTCCTCTACAAGGACGCTGAGTAGACTAGATGGTAATAGGCAACCTTGCCTAGTCCCTAGTGTTACACAGATTGCTTTTTTTTTTTTCTCCCAGTACGTGGGCCTCTCACCGTTGTGGCCTCTCCCGCTGCGGAGCACAGGCTCCGGACGCACAGGCTCAGCGGCCATGGCTCACGGGCCTAGCCGCTCCACGGCATGTGGGATCTTCCCAGACCGGGGCACGAACCTGTGTCCCCTGCATCGGCAGGCGGACTCTCAACCACTGCGCCACCAGGGAAGCCCCAGATTGCTTCTTAAAGTTTCACTGGTAAGCAGGTTGTTTAATGTGGGTTTTCTGTAGATTCCTGTCATAAGGTTAAGGAATTTCCCTTTTATTTCTTGTTTACTGATTTTTTTCTTTAGCATAAATGGATGCTGACTTCTACTGAATGCGCTTTCTGCACTGATTGAGACATTATACATTTTGTCTCCTTTAATCTCTTAGTGTTGGTAAGTTATATAAACAGATTTTCTAACATTAAACCAAATTTGCTTTCTTCAGACAATCCAAACTTGGTCATGACATAATACCTTTTTATACATTGCCGTATTTGGTTGGTTAATATTTTGCTTATGAGTCCTGCAAAAATGTTTGTAAATGAGATGCAATTAACCCTTCATTTGCTGTCCTTGCCTGGTCTCGATAGCAAGGTAACGTGACTTCATGACGTGATTTGAGGACCCCCTGGAGCTTCATCTCCTGGAGAGTTTGTGTATTAGTGGAATTATCTGTACCTTAAATATCTCGTAAAATTTGTCTGTAAAATCTGGACCTGTTGCTTTGTAATAAACTTTCAAAATACTGATTCAATTACCCTACTAGCTATGAAACTATTCAGATTTCCTATTTTTTCATTCTTTCTCATTGTTTTTAGACTCTAAGAATTGCTCTAACTTCCTGTCAGCTCAGCTCATTAATTGTTAGGTTATTTATTTGTTTGTTTGCTTCTTTGTTTCAGGGTATCTACTTTGTCCTATTGCTAGAAATGAAGGTACCAAACCCTCTCTGTCTCTTGTCTTGACTCTCTTATTTTCACTTTCTGTGGAAAAAATATGCATACACACTTGCACACACATATGTATATACGTACATATAACATATAGTACATACACACACACGCACACAAATTCAACAAGTTACTGCAAGTTTTCTAGCCTAATCAAGTCTCAATTTCTTCACTTTAAAATATGGGCTGTAAGCCATGTAAAGCTGGGCCACTTTGTAAGCCATTTTAGCCCAGTGTTTCATCCAGTCCAATATTTAAAACTAAGTGGAAAACAATTCAAATATCTATTGAATTCTCTCAAAAATGCCAAAAGGGGCTTCGACTTAAAAGATTTCAAATCAGCCGTCCTCCTCTCCAATAAATGTCGCCAATGTTCCCATCGTCTCTCACTCTAACCCTTCAGATCTCCTGCAACCACGTGGAGGCAGCTCTTGCCTTTCCTCCTTCTCCCCCTCACCTTCTGAATTTATTCTTTTCTCTCCCACCAGTAATTCTCTGTCCTTTCCAGTGAAAATCAGATCTCACATCCTCTCGGTCTCATCCTGTCTCTCATAATTCCATTTCAGCTCAGTGAAGCCAGGAATGGAACTGGGGTTGGGAGGAGAGGCTGAAAATTCTCAGACTTATCATACACTGCTTCTTCTCACAGGATAATACACAGCTTGAAGGCCTGGAAACAATGAATGGAGAACACCTGGTCCAGGGCCTAAAGCAGGGCAGGTTCTACATAGATGGGTGGTATCTGTTACATTGGACCAGTTCCATAAATCTCTGAGACACAACTACTTGCCAAACAAAGGGTCTAGAGCCTCAAGATGGCTTTTTACTTCTACATTACTGTGGTTCTATGGTATTAAAATGTGGGTAAAGATGAGATCAAGAGATGTGCACTGCTTCTTGGGATCAGTTTCCTATGAGCAAATATGTCCTGCTGTTAACTAAATCATGAAAAGAAGAGGTTCCCTCTTTGCAGTACTACCC